TCATTTATATATTTTCGAAATATGAAATATGAAACACACCATCCTAAAACAATGCCGAAATTACCATTAAGCTATCTGAGAACTGAGGATATTAACTGCGTTTCGAAAACTTTATACATTTTTAGAACGGAACAAAAGCTTCCTGACAACAGCATGGCACATTCGCAAATACTTATTCACTCTCAATGTGTGCTTTCATTACGCATTCCTGTGATACTTGCAGGGAGGGGAGATTCCAAAACAAAAGTCCTTTGAAAACTGAAAAACATGCCTTAAAAGTTTTCTACATGCTGCATGCTCTGAAAGTCATTGGGGTTTTTAGTGAAATTCAGTTTTATAGAAGTCTTTTTCATGCTCAGTCTTTTAGATTCTGCAATGTAATAACAGGGGGAGTATCTCAAAAATTCCTGCTCAATCAATTGATAAATTGAACCAGTCTACACAAATGTGAAGTATACCTGTCATGAAAGTCTTCTTTAAGCGCTATAATGTGTTGTTGCAAAATATAAACCTAGTTTGTTCCATAATATTTTAATATTTTTATCCTGGCAAAATGGTCACCTCAACAATAAACAAGATATGTGTTGCCTCCCCCTTAAACAAGGCATATTATTTTCCATCCTTTCCTTATAGCTGGAAGGAAATCACCTTACCTCATCGTAACAGCATTCTGTGTTGCATAATACAGCTTAAATGGAAATTCTCTCCTTAATTAAAAAGGCAAACTGTACAGATTCTCAATAGGTTTTGCAATTATGTTATTAGGATTTTCAAGAGTAAAAAGAATAATAATATCATGTGAAGAGAAGCATGTTATGTGTGAAAAAGGTGCTTTGTGGGTAGAAGGATCCAAGCCAGTTAGCCAGGAGGCAGCTAACCTGCCAATAATTCCTAGTTTGCAACAAATCCATTTATGCTAACAATCCACCCAGGTAGAGTTAGCCAGGAGTCACTAATTTGGTGATATTTTACTATGATCGATAGATATGAAGAAAATAAATAAGTATGACATGTTTGATATAATGTGAGAGTTCCTAGAGGTGTCTCAGTTTTTAAGGTTGCCATGGTAACTGGGGACTCAAATGCAGTATTAAATTTGCGATTGCTGTAAAACAGCAGTGTTGGTGAGCAACTTTATGTGTTAGTCCTACACAAAACCAAATCATTCAGCTTAAAGTCTATTAAAGGCTTAAAGGCTATTCTGTAGTTAATTATAAGACTTACCATTAACTTTAAGATGTGCACCTGAAAACAGTCTCAGTTGGCAATCACATCAAAGATTAGTTTTGCTCCATGAGGGAATATTCTTCTAACGAGTATTATACAGGAACAAAAAGGGGGGGAAAGGATAAACACTGTCTGAGACAAAAAGGCCAAGCAGTTAACAAGCACTGTGACATTCTGGATGCAATCCACAAAGTGCCTCGTTATATCGATGGATCTCTACTGCATTCCCAAAATGGCTGCCAAATATGTTCAACTGGGGTAGACAAAGTGCCAGGATGGACTCAAGTGCATATTTTTAAGTCAATTGTCTATGGTAAAATGCCCTACTTGGAATTATATATCATAATACTAATTTTACTTCATCTTGCTCAATGCAAAGATTTATTATAAGATAGATGATTTTATAATGAAAATGCCAAAAGTGCATTTGTTTAAATTTGCGACCAAATTTACACGTTCTACATTTTAATTTTACGTTAAAATAAAATAAATATTTTACTAAGCAACATACATTGGAAAATAAACAGCATGATTCAGTGGACTGAGGTGAATTCCACCCATCACCAATATTACATCCTCTCCCCACCTCTCCCGTCCTTTCCACTACATATTGGCCAACAAACCACCAAAGACTAAAAATCTTTTCAACAAAATATATTTATACAGAATATTGAACATATATTTATACATTTAGTTATGTAGGTTATGGGCCACCAGGATTACCTGGTAAAAGCCTGGAGAAGATGGCTGGATGGTGTGGGAATAACAACCAGAAATGTGGCATTGCGGAGGCTTCAGAGAGATATCTCTATCTTGTCTGTTTGGCCAGCAGTGCCTTTGCTGTGCTTAAAAATTATTTGGAATACTGACCTGCCATCTGTGTGCATGTACAGTACAAGATGATTGTTTTTCTTGTTATATGTCTCTTCCAAAAGAATCACTCATTACATTAGTACAGCATGGTATCCTTACACGTTTTCACTTGAGTAAACCCAAATAATCAGGTGGGAGAAAATGTGCGAAAGATATCAGCAATCAGTTTGTTGGTCAATAATAACTAGCTGAATGTGAAGAGAGGGTGACAAGCTGCAGAGGACGAGTGAAGGATGGTGAAGCCAAAAGAAAATTGGGATTGATTGCTAAGTGTGGATAAGCTGAACACCTCTCTCGCCGCTTTGCCTTCTTCTGAGAAGGTCTACAGTTAATCTGCTGGGTCTCCTTCATATAATAATGAGTTTCCTTGGTCTGCAGACATGCTCTTAAATATTCATTAGTCATGGGTGGGTTTTAGCCGTGACACAGAAAGCGGGCAAATGGCAATGGCTCAAACACTGTGAATATTAATGTACATGTGGAATATATACATATAAATAGTCATTAGTGACTTAACTGAGATGAAACTGGGCACCTGATACTCTGGACTACAAACACTCTCAAGGCACATAATGGCTGTCTCTCTTTCAGCAGCTACTGTACACCTCTGTGCTGATAAAATGAGAGTTTCTGACATCAAGCCGTGGTGAGAGCTCACTTACACACAAGACAAGTACCCTCCAGTTCATCAAACAATAAAATGTCCAAAAATCCACGGTATTAAGTTTATGTAGAGTTTCTGGTCAGATGGAGAGCATTCCATCCACTGTACTCCTAGTGACAATATAAATTTCACTTTACTCACCCACAAGCAGCCTGTCAATCAATATATTCCAGTTCATTGGACAGATATATAATTATGCCCAGCTGAAATCTTACATCAGAGTGAAATGTTGCATTTCTGCTACACCGGGCTGCACGCTCAGCTCTCTGGTCTCCAAATGTGTCCATTCAGAAAACAAATCATCCAGTGCAGCCATCAATTACATAACCAAGCCTATAGGATTGCAGCCCATTTTACGTTGTGTGGAAACATATTCTGAATGAAAGCGGGGGAGAGGAAGTGATCACAACAGAAGTGCAAAGGGATGCACAGTTATGTGGTTAAAAAAAAAACCACACACACAGCCAGGTGCACACATCCACAGACCGTGTCTGCGCTGGAGGAAGCTGGACGCAGCAGCGCTCTTGTGGAGCCTCCTCTGTGTCAAACCCGGGACTGGCCCTCTTGTTTGTGTCTACTCGCATCTTCACACGGCAAACAGCCTTAGTGACCACACCAGAACCCACCTCTGACATGACTAATGTGCTGACGCAAAGCTGTATACCTGCGCACAACTTCTGTGCTATAGGCGAGCCTGTGCCTATTCATCCGACACAGAACGTGTTGTACTGTAGAAACTAACAGTGGCGCTTCTGACAGACACAAGAACGTAATGTATTACTCTCTTTATCTGACAGCCCAGCGCTTTGGGACAACACGCGCGCGCGCGCGCACATGATCGCGCACAAATAGATGGAGCTCCGACGAATAAGACTGACATGTTGCTCCGGCTCAACTCCCCATGGCCCTTTCACTGAATTTGGGAGAGTTGTCGCTCCATGTATTTTTACATTACGCCAATACTGAGCATATACACAGATTTTTAACTTTCTCCAAGAGGTGAAGTGCCTCTGTGCTGCCATCCGATAAGCAAGAGCAAAGGAATCACGAGTTGTCCATGAATATTTTGCAACAAAATGTCTCAAACGGCACGCAGGAAGCGTCTCTTGCAACTTTAATTACACCAGAGCATGGCCCCAGATCTAGGCCAGCCTTTGCCAAAAAACATCCTCACATCGCAAACATTTTCAGACACTGTAGGCTGCGAGTAAAGCGGATTGCGACAATTAAAGTGACCATTCATTTTTTAGAGAAACACAAAATCCAGATCCAGAGTCCCACTGGATCTAGTTCTGATTTATGTCAGAAACTGAACCTGCACTATTGTTTTACTTTCACACAATATTAGCCAGCCTCCCTCCGCCCGCTTAACATATTTTAATGTAACCCCATCTCATAAACGCCACGCCGTATTGATATTAATTCATAAAAAATGTAGGCTAGACATCTGTCTGAGTATAAGCGCCATATGAGCCGCTGCTATAATGGTGTTATTCAGACATCGGAACCATTTTCCCGGCAAGTTAAACAAATTGAAACGTATTTAAGGCATACATTTCTAGTGAGGCTATATTTTAGTGGTTAATAAGGAAACGCGTTTCCTCTGATTCAAATGACTGACCTAAAAGCCAAATGCGCACGTCGGCTGCCACAGTTGTTCCGGGCTCACAGTGTGTAAAATGTGAACAAGCAGCCTGCGAGGATCGCGGAGGCTTTGGCTGACTGTGAGAAACAGACCTGTGAACACAGTTTGAGCCAAAGTATTGTACTTAAGTGTCCCCTTCCCGGCTCAGGGGCAAATCCGAAAGAGAAGGGCTAAAGGTAAAGGGGGCATGCTGAGAATAATGACAGATGGGAAACTTGCGTCATGCCAGGGCAGCGCGTTTTTCTAGTCGAATATAAACGGACAACAAAACCCCCCTGGCTGCCAAAACTGAGCTCCCTAACATGAGGGGCTCGTTGCACTTCATCTTGTACGCTGCCGTCACATTTATTAGATGTCTGTGATCCTCTAAAGAATGAAGTTTCCGATTATGTAGAGCGTAATATTTGGTTGGTAAAGCCAGCCACAACTACGTGGAAGTCAGTGGTAGGCTATTTCATGCATATCACCCTACAGACAACGAGCATGTTTTAATCTCTTGTATAGGAAATTCCTCTTATTTCTCCCCTGTAATAATAGTGGTATACATATTGTAAAGACCCATCCCTTTTCCTACTTTTCTCAATTTCTTACCTGCACTTCGAAGCTCGTTCAAAAAGTGGCGATAGCGTTTCCACGGCTCCCCCTGTTTTCCCCCGATGAAGCGCGTATAGTTTGCTTTTTTTAATATGTTCCTTTACTTTGTTTCATTTCTCACTTCCATCTTCTTTTCATCTCATCAATAAACACACGCTGCAGCCTACCTTCATAGAGCAGCTCGGTTCAAGTGTGCCCTCCCATTTTTTAACTATACATCGAGCACTTTGAAGGGTGGTGGAGGGGGGTGGGGGGAGGGGGGCAAGCAGGCAGGCAGGCACGCCTTTTCACTTAAAGCTGCTATTGGAAGAACGGTGCACTGTCTTGGGTTGGATCAGAAATCTGTCAACATTGTTGTGCCCCAATCGCAGGGAGCACAGTGGGACGGTGAAACAGGCTCCATTATGGCTCTCTGGAAGTGGTGGGAGTTATAGTAATAGTAGTTGTAGTAGTAGTGTTCCTCCTACTCGAGGTGTTTAAGTTTGCCCCTGCCTGAGCAGCATCACGGCAGTTTTATAAATGGAAGCCATGGTGCGTAACGAAACCTGTAAAAGGTTGAGGTTTAAAACAGGTTCGCTGTGGTGCTGCACCCCAGCAAGAGCGTCCACTTTACCCATAAATCCCACCTTTTTGTTTTTTTATTTAATTTATACTTTGCTCTTATTGTGCGGGCTCCAATGTCTGTTGTTCAAAATTCCAGCGTTCACAATTGTGAATGAACTCAAATCTATCCCCAGTCTGGATCAAAAGGACTGGGGAATTGTCAGTTATGTGTCCATCATGCGTCTGAACTTTGCATTGGACGCCGCCTCTGCCAGTACAGTGAGCCAGCTGCGCCGCCGCCTCTCATTGGACAGCGTCGCCGTCGATCATCTCCGGTACCAACAAGCTAGATTGTCTGCCGTGTCTTCTACTTTCTACGCATTTCTATTTTCTCATTTATTTATTTTTTAACGTCCCGAGCTGACCTCGAGTTAGCGAGCAGGGGGAAAAAATCGTGTCGGTTCAGCTGGCCAATCAGATTTAGTAGAGTGATTGCTTTTTTCTCTTGTTGTTGTTGATTTTTTTGTGTCATTATCCAACGCCTTGAGATGTATTCTAGCTGGCATAGAATAAAGCAGTAATGGGTCATGTGGGATCCCCCCGCACCCACCGCCTTCATGCCCCCTCCCTGTCTAGACAGTGACAGGTGTGCGTGTGTGCGTACACGCTTGTCTGTAGTTCAGATCAGAATAATGAACCATGCTGAGGCTACTGTCTAATAGATACTTTCAATATATTATTTATGTGTGTGATTCATGTGTAGTATACAGGGAGGAGGGTGTTCAGTGTAAGCTTCTCTGCATCTTGAAAGACAAGCTTTTACTGACAAAGAGGTCAACTAAGGTTATGCTCGATCAGCCCGTCTCATAAACTGTCCTGCCTCCTGAGCTGCTGCGCCTCAAGGGTGCGAAGAAAAAACTTCTGTTTTTTTTTTTTTTTTTGAAAAGCTGCACTCTTGAACTTTGCTTTCACAGCCCTCCAGCTGTACATGGGAGACAGAGGTGTCACTTCAGACAATCGCCATCTCTCAAGCTGGGTAGGCTCCATACGGATATTGTTGTGTGAGCACCGTGGTGAGCACCCAGGGCACTCAGTTGACTGTGCGCGCCATCTGCAGGACTGGGATGTGGATTAATACCGAGGGTTCAACGGAGGACACCCTTCCGTCACTGCTTTGACCTACATTAACCAGGAACACCGTAGGGACACCGCCACCGGCCTTAATGCGTTGCTTTGCAATCCGACAATGAAGCACGCCTCAGAAATGCTTTTAATATTCATTAAAAGTCAGAATTATGTCACTTTAGGATCATATGCTGAACGAGCAGATCCGTGTGGCGCACGCCTTCCCGGAACAGTGTTTTAGATATCTGGCTTGATTAACATGGCTCAACCGGTAGCACGTGCAGGGAGGATTCAACGTAGAGAACATTTTGTTTTAGCGGAGGCACTAAGTGCCCTGCATGTTTAACTGGACTTGCCCTTTATTGTTGCCACCATGAGAAAAAAAATGTAATCTAAAATATGTTTAATTTTATTTTTGCAGAACAGATAGGCCTACAAAAATATGAGATATTCACTGGATAGAGTAATGGTACACCAATTATTTTGCTTATGTTACTACATGTTTTTTTATTTAAAAATGTAGTGCAATAAAAATAAACATAAAATACAAATGGCAATAAAATTATACACCAATTTCCCCTAACTGTACCATATTAATAACAAATGAAATAATATGAAAAAATGTAGCAACAAAAAAAAAAGGTTATTAAAAAAGTGACTGAAAATATACCTGATGTGCTTCATATTAATCAATTTAAACCTTTAAGCTCCTCAGGTAGCTTCCATATCTTAGAACCTCTATGACAGATAATAAATTAACAATAATAATATATAATAATAATTGGAAGGGGGGGGGCTTTCGTTGGGAAGGCCTCCCTGAGGATTATCACCAGCTTGGAATTGTGCCGCAATTTCTCATTTTCAAGATGATAAAACTGATTTAATAAAAATAAAAAGATGTTTTTAAATGAAAAAAAAAAGGTCTCAACAGCACAACAGTGAAGGTCTTAGTCAAGTATGAATCAGAGGCTCATAAAGGTAAAGGACCAACAGATAATCAAATTCTCAATTATAAACCTGGACAGCAGTCATCCTGTAACAAAAAACTGTAACGTATTTGTATTTGAAATCCTTACATTTTTTTTCTCTTCATCAGTTAAGTCGAGCACAAAATGTCAGCTTAAAGAAAACCTGCTGCTGGATCTGTGAAGTATATATATATACATACATATACAAACATATATATACACACATACATATACATATATACATACATATATATACATACATATATACATATACATATATACATGTATGTATATTTATACATACATATATATACATACATACATACATATACACATATACATATATACACATATATACACACATATATATACATATATGTACATGTATGTATATACACACACACACACACACACACACATATTTATATAAACGTGTATATACATACATATGTATATATATATGTATACACACACACACATATATATATACACACGTGTATATATACATATATATACACACACATACAGCTTTTATTTTGTGTCTTCATTACAATTGAATTCATCATTAATTTCCCCCACTAATAAATACAATAGTAATAATTTATACAGTAAAAAGCTGCATAAAGGAAGTAATACAAATACAATACAAATTCAGTTTTGATTTGACTAAACCTCAACTTTACCTTTTGCAAACCCTTGACATTGCATGTAAAAGACAGTTTATTTTTCTGTTGTAAAACAGGAACATAATGTAATTTCACATTGGCAGGTCCAGTCATGTTTCACTCAGCTTTAAATGTAACCAACAGAGGGCAGCAATAGGACTTCTCTTTATGTACGTTTATTTATTTATTTGCTTATCTATTCATTCATTCATTTATTCTGCTTCTGTGCAGTGCTCCCCTTTCTAAATACAGCTTTAGACTTTTCCTCATTCATCAATGACCTCTGGTGGTACGGAGGTGTCTAGTATTTCATAATAAAATGTAGTTAGATGCTAATGTAATTGTAAACATTGGTTCCTAAGCCAAATTTATCAACACACAAACAAACAGGTTTTACTCTAAAGCCCGGCTGTTCTACTATCTTGTTTGGGGGGGCATTTTCAGAAAACTAGGGCCGGGGGGCCAGACATTTCCCTGAGATATTATTCTTTCTCAAAACTTTGCTCCATTGCAAAAGTAGCCAAATAATAATATAAAATAGGAAATCTTAGCTAATTAGGTCAAGTGCTTAATTTTATTTTGTTTGCTGTGATATATCCCAAAAGTAAATGATATCAGGGTTAGATGTCATGTTGGGCATGTAATCTCTAACAAAGCTACTCAAAGCTATCTCAGCATTTCCTTTCTTGCTTCCCCTCTACTTCTACATCAGTTGGCCTGCACCACATCACACCACATTGACTGGGCAATGACAGGGAAGGCCGCTTCATATGAAGTGTGGCAATCTGCATACAGTGATGCAAATGCTCATTTGTCAAAGAGGCACAAGTCATTCGTTTTTATGACGTTCATGTGAGAGAAGCTGGAGTCGCACGCCACAACAGCAGCCTGCAAAGGAGAGATTTCATCATCAATAATGCATGTTTGTGATTGGCGATTACTGACAGCACAGGAGTGCTCTACTGGTTTGAAGGATTTATTGTGGAAAAAATGTCTGTTTTTCATGCAGTTTTTTTCTTCAGGTTTTAAATTGTATGTATTTGTAAATAGAACTGATCTGCGGCTGGTGTGACCAGATTGGTGGGGCAGAGTTGGCCTGCGGGCCGAGAGAAGAATAGGCCTGTTCTAAAGTCACTGAATTGGAAGTTTGCAAGCTACAATTTGGGGCTAAAAACGAGACAAGGCAAATTCATTACCTCACAGTACCTTCCATTTGGAAATAAATAATTATAACTTCTGTATTGGCTACAATTTTATTGTACAAGTCCACTCATAGGTCTTGTCCTTGTGCATCTTCTATTCTGTTTTAATATATTCCTCTAAGTGAATGGCCCAAAGGCTGCTCATTTTAGAGACAGTCTAGACAACTCATTATGGGTAGGATGGCAACTGACAATGTGCAAACTGGTTTGAGGCATGTGGACTAAGTTTTCATTCAATTTGCAGTGCAATTAAAATGTTATTTCTGCTCAGAATGTACCTTCCTAAACCCACCTGGTAGAAACCTGTTAATGTGTGCGAATGAACAGGGCTTTTCTTGGGACTGCTCTATTGTTTCCCATTGTTACTTGAAGGTTCTTATGCAGTTTGCAAGCTTTTAAGAGTTACACTCCACAAAAACAGTTAGGATCCAGGCAACCATATATGTATGCAGTCCAGCAGTTCACTGAGGTGGCTCCATATGTGGGCAGATGTTAAGTGCTTAACATCTTTACCTTATTTGTATATGAAATCCTCTTTTACAATGACCAATAAAGACTTAAGTATTCCTCATGTGTGGCAGTGTGGTATGGCCGCTGATCCTCAGCATCAAGCATACTTTAATCTAAACAGGCCATCAAGCACATTAAACCTGCCGGCAAGGTAGCACCACATCCCACCACTTCCCACAACCTCACCAGTGATTCTTAT